TATATATATAATGCATCGGATGCTTTTGAATACAATTCCTGTATGCTTATTAAATATACGAAAAAATAAATCAATTTTGTATTAATATAATCTCTAACCTTTCTCATCTAACTTAGCAAAAAGCTCAGAATTTTCTTCGTCTGCTTTTTCGATCTTTGTAAGTTTTTTCGACAGCATTCCAAGTATTCTGTTATGGGAATTTTTCCCTATACTTCCATGCTCCGTCGTGTTTCCCTCAATTTCAAATGGATTTCTTAGATCTTCAAATGGATTGTCCAAGTCTGCGTACTGACAGACAGTTGTTGACTGCACCTTACTTCCGTAGATGGTCTCTATCACCACATGACCGTCTTTTGGTAGCGCAGGCGGCGGGCAACACTCTAACTTTTTGGTTGAAATTAACATCATATTCTCTTTACACTCTACGTCACAGAATTTCAAAGACGCGATATCAGATTTTCGCCAACCAAAATTTTCACCTGAAATAGTAATCTTTGTCCCGCCGCCAGTGTGCGCTGTCCATGGGAAAACGTCTGTAATTCTAGGCTCCTTTAACACTGACCGACGTTTTTCCCAACTCTGAGCAAGTTTTGAATGGTCAAACGTTTTACGAAGCTTCACATGGATTTTACTTTTACGTACCTTTTCTTCTTCTTCTGAAACACTTTCAGTATTTGTGGTTTGAACGATAAGGTTATCGCCATATTCTTTTTTTTCATCTTTGCCAAGTTGATCTATCTGGAAAGGAGTACTGTTGCACCGACGCAGTGAAAACTGCCGATTATTATTCATTTGTTCCTTGTATTTTCGTGATATTTTCGGAGACATATGCTTTAGGAATGTGTCCAGTCTTCGTCCACTTGTTTGCTGTACCTCCATCATTTCCTCTCCATCAGTATGCTCAAGCATAATTGACGGTATTGCTTTTGAATAGCCTGTGACCCAGCAGTCAAATATCAGCTCTCCTCCGAGGCTTGGACGTTTCTTGTAAGGGCCTAGTGACATTCGTCTCTTATTACTTGAGTTACTGATGTCTTCCAAAGGAACGCAGACGGAGCCAATGACGTCTTCTTTGTCCTTTACCGTCAGAACTAATTGCTGATCCGATCTGATGATGCTACTATAGAGTTAAATAAACAATTTCAATGGTTAATTAGGCCTATAACATGTTTTCATGCTTATTGCGCAATCACTAAACAAGAGAAAATTACAGTAATTGTCGCGTGCTCATCTGATACTTAACTTAAGCTTGGTTATTACTCGTAGTGATGTATCGAATGGCCCAGAGGATACGGTCTGAGGCCTCTTCAGCCTATGCCAGATGGTGAATGGGAGCGAGGGAACAATTTCCCGAACACTTTTTTGTCTTAAAGGGTGTAAAAAGGGAGATGCCATCTCATAGGGAAAGCAACGCGACGGCGCGCGCACAGCGGATCTGCCCAGACTGCCACCGCCGATAATTAGCGGACGGTGACGTGTCGTCAAGCGCTCAGAAAGAGAGGAAGAGAGCAGTGGTGGATTCGTCGGCGACGTGGTACGACCATGTGTGCCCGGATTAAGAGGCCCACTAGGCGATTTTGGGCCCGTGGTTTGAAATAACTTACAAAATAGACTCTTCATTCCAGTCAGGGTTGCAATCCTTTATTTCTGATGTCTGGTACCGTTCATCGCCAATCCCGAAAACGACGGATGCTTTACATTTTCCTGATGAATAATCAGTATATCTCATCATTATTATTTATCATGTTCACATTCATTTTTATAAGAGTACGGTATCGGATTATCAGTTTATGGTTATTAGTAATAGAATATTAAATTATTGACGAAAGTGTTGAGGCAAAAGGCCTGTCGCCACCAATAAGAAACTCTACAAACACAACCGAGCCACCTTTAGATCACAATGTCATCGAAGCCTAACTTACTGTAACCGTAAAAAACATAATACAAAAGTGTTATAAAGATAGCATGAAGTTTATCGCGTTTTGTCAACAGTAATACATCATTGTTTGTAAACCGTGTCGACGTAGGTTCCTCTGATTTAAAACGGAAATAAACCGTTCCGCAGGGTTTACACTTCAATGAGCAGAGGGAACAACCTTAGGTACACCTGAAAACCCCACAACCGGCCTCAATTTTGAATATTCGTTCATTAAAATATGTTAAAGGAAATTATTTTGTCAGATACAAACAAATATAAAATAATGAGATAAATGGTACACACGTTGTTAAAGTAGGCATTGGATGGACAGCAAAAAACTGACGTTGGCATGCCTAAAGCCATGGAGGCATAATTAACTAACAATAGCACAAGACATATCTTTATAATGTTTAACTTCTGAGAAGCAAAACCACACGTTCTTGTTTCCAATACCAAGCCGTACCTGCCCATTGTAGACCTACCAATCCACAAAGTATACCCACCTCTTCTTGATTTGCGCACCTTTAAGTTTCTCGCACCGTGAACTAAAATAAAATGCAAAAAGGAAAACAAATGAGATAAATACGCAAGCGCAACAACGGCAAAATATCATCATCGACAAAATAATTTGATAGTGATGTTCAGTATACATCTGTAATAATTAAATATGGTACTAAAATGGAAATGGTTTATATTAACTACAAACTTTTCACTTGGTTACCAGTCAATTTAATGGTAAAATGCAAAGAACAAGAAACGGTATTATTTATGGGTCTATAAATTGACGAGAAAAAATACAATAAGCGTATATCGTGTTCAATTTTTTAAACGGAAATAATATGTATGGTAACTGCACCAAAAAAGTGTAAAAAACCCTATTAATTATAGGATACCCTATTATGACATTTCTACAAGATTTTCAATTGCATCAAAATACAGACGGTGCCCACATTATATAATATAGCCTTATAAAACGGGTTACTTACCAATGACTTTGATTTCAGACGGCTCCATGCTGCACTTCTTAAAAAGGCACAAATAGGAGAGTTAACGATGACCCCAATTGGGTTAAAATCAGGAAATAACACTACGATATGTTGCTAAAAATGGAACATATCCCTGGATAACAAAGAAGAATGAATCAAGTAAATTCCCGTCACGCAAAAGCGGAAGTAAAACAAGTGGAGTGTGCGTCCGGAAGGACAAACAGTAATGTAGTTGCGTTATAGTGCGATTTATGGTGCGATGTTATGGATGTTAAAATTGTTTCAAGAGTTGACGTCATAATTAATTTCGATCGGCATTATTAAAATTTTCCGTGACCGCTTGTGTAGGCCCCTATAATTTAAACAAAAAAAACTTTCAAATAAACCTATCTTAGCGGAAAGAGTTTCATCCAGATGTATAACGATTACTTTCAACTCAGCTGAGGTTATCTTTTTGGCCTGTGAGATCAACTCTAAAAATGATTTGGCCCTTCAAATAAATTAATTAACACATACTGTACTTTTTTTCAAATCCTGTATATGAATTTGAAGTGAGATATAATTTTTATCATAACTTTCAAGTACGGGACTTTAATCGGTTTTGATATAGAAGAGTGATTTGATAGTGCCAAATGATTAGAAAAACAAGAAAAGAACCGTATAATAGGGATTTTAAAAGTATCGTTTCTTGAGAAAAGTACAACACAAACTGATCAATGAATGGTAAAGTACTTATAAATACACGCATAGGAACATACCAAATTGGCCTAACTGGGCGGTTCTGATCGTACATTTTTATCATCAAAAATGTAGTCATCCGTAACTGCTACTATTATTTATATTATTTATAATTACTTGGAATCGTCACTGTTATATAAATTCTACATTAATACTGTCTCTTATACACATCTAGATGTGTATAAGAGACAGTATATATATATATATATACACTATATACACTGTAGTACAGTATTTACAAGTTTTGGCTATCGATCTTTGATAGGCTCACAGTGGATGCGTGTGTCTACTGCTTGACATTTTCTTGGGCTACTTTTAACTCATCCACGCTTTCGGTGTTGGTAATTCAATTCAATAACTATGTTTTTAAATAGAAACACGACCACCTAGCAATGCTAACAAGAGAAGTGTCGTATCTAGGATTTGTGGAATAGGGTGCTGAAAGGGAGTCCGGACCACATCAACGCCACCATTGTTGGTGTTGAGGTGCGAATATTTTCAGTACTGTGACCTCTGGATGGAACTTAAATTACCTTTTTAAATTGTTTTTATTTGACAAATTGAGTCAATAAAAACGAATTAACGTATTATACTTTTAATTGTGACATAAATTTGAGCTTCAAATATTATCAGATTCATGGGTGTGGTGTCATCATCCAATGACAAGAATTATTGGTAATATTTATATTACTGTACCCTACAACAACCATATAGAAAAGTCGAGTTATTGTGATTATCATCAGAAATATTTAATATTTATAAATATAAAGCTGGTATTGGTCATTTGGATATACTGCAAGATTAATTTAAGTAATCGTCACCAATTGGCGGGCACAAGAATTTGTTATAGAGGGGAATACGTTACAAAGACGCCTGCAAGCGATTTTCAACTGGTTGCTGGTCTTGATAATATCTATGTTTATAACATATTGGAATATTATTAGTTTTTGGAGCATGAACTAACGTATTCAAAACATTGGAAAAGCCAACTTTTTAGACGTTAATTCGAGGTAAAGTTAATATTTCAAAAGAAACCTTAAAATAAAAACGAAAAACTGGACTGCATACCACTAAATTTTTAGATATGAATATCATTTTTTTCTTTTTTTTTCTCTTTTTTTGCCGAATTAATTGTATGCGCTGGTTAATTTACGAGCGGCGCTTTTGTGCGTAGGACTTAGAACAACAATCGATTGTAACGCCTGGCAAATGCGCGTCCTGTCCGTGTTTCTATTAGTTGTAGTCCATGGGCACGAAAGTATCACCTACAAAAGTTTTCTAATACTGTAACATTCTTGCCAATCAGTAATTCCTTATTTTATTTTTTTTTTCAACATTTGAAGATGGTGCTCAGGCACACCTTGAACACGCCACCAAAGAGTCTGGCTTTTTTTTTTAGTGTAGCTCACTGTATCTAGTAGAGTATTAACATGGGGAGGGGGAGACTAATAGGGATAAAGGATTAAGTGGGTTTTTTTGTTTTAGTGTAGCTCACTGTATCTAGTAGAGTATAAACATGGGGAGGGGGAGACTATATAGGGATAAAGGATTAAGTGGTAGAGCTCTGATACGCGATCTCTAACCATTGGCGGCGCAAACGGCAGATCTGAGGAGCAGGCTCGGGATCATGTCATTTTGTTGAAAATACTGCTTTGAAAACGCATTTTTACAATCTGAAAGTGGCATTTCCGCCTGCCATAAAATTTGTTCACCTCAGCCCCAACCATGGTGGGGCTGAGGTAAATATGGGCCCTTATTGAAGGTGCCGGACTCCTCGTCGGGCAATTTCTGGAGCTGACATTGTTTTTAACTATTTACAATAATAGTACATGAGTGGATTTCTTTGTGCTCATAAAATTTCTAGTGATAGGGTAGGAGAACCCGAGGTACAGTTTTTTTTATCCCCACCGTTCCCAATGCTACTGCATTCCCTCCTTTTGACAAAAAAAAAGGCAGGCCTATCATATTGAGTTACACAATGTATTACCGTACGGCCTGCCGCTGGTCTCAAACAGATTAGAACTGGCCACCAGGAATACCTAGGACCTAAACTAATTGAACACATCAGGCAATGTTTCGGTTTTAACCATAGGCCTCTATCTTATGATGAAGTCACAAACTTTAAAACGTAGGAACATACAGACCTAGCCCAGTGGCGGATCCAAGTGGGGGAATGGGAGCTGGCCCGTGCTCCCTTAAATTTTACAAAAAATATGAAAAAAAAGAGGAAAATTGCAATCAAATCTAGGTCTGAGAGTGCCATTTCCGGCCATCTAGAGGTGTAATAATCATAAAATATCTTACCTCAGCCCCAACCATGTTGGGCCTGAGGTCTACTCCCGTCTGTGAAAATCCCGGCCTGGGGCCCCCTCTATTTCGAATTCCTGGATCCGCCAGTGTTGCCTGCCTGTATTGGATTGGATTTATTCGGTGTAAACACCTAGGATAGCCCACGAAAGTCTAGAAGAAGACTTATTTCCAGTGGGGTCCTTTTGGTATTGGACAGTACACCGGGAGACAATCCCTACTCTTTTCCGAAGTTAACGTGCACATGGGCCATAAATTCACCCGGGACCAACGGCTTAAACGTCTCATCCGAAATAGGTACGCTATTGTAACTTGTATTTCAGCCCTCTAGCTGAAACACAAGGAGAAGCAGCGATGGGAATTGAACCGGGGACCTAGAGATCTCCACGGTTCAGCGCACACACAGTAGCTACCACCAGATTAGCCGACTGAACTAAGCTGCTCTCTTAGTTCAAACGAACAAAGTGATATCATTAATTATTTAGGAATATTATATTTATTATGTAATATGTATATTATATTATAATCATAATAGTTATGTAACGACCGATTCATGAAATGAATCATACGGTATTTCTTTGAATAAAATGAACCGTTTCATTGTGCACATATTAAACCAGATGCAATGTTCATTGTGCTATCAAAAATGCAAGACTGTCAAATCAGATTGAAACACCTGAACTAAACGAACACGGAAATGCTGTTAGGTTCTAAAGCAAATATATCTTAAAATGAATAAAAACTTTAAAGTTTGTATTCGAACGAACATGAAAAGGCACGACACTCCGGACACAATGCCATTCATAGAATCTAAAAGCAACTACAGCAGTTACCAAACGGCCTAAATTAGTATACAAAGGGCATGTGCAAATTGTAAACTGAATTATACTTCGTACCATCGTACGTTGTTTACATCAAAACTGAATCATTACGTCGCATTCCAGTCAAATTAGAAGCATACCAACAAGTCATTTAAGCCATGGCCGTACTAGCCTTAACTTAATTTCCGTCTCTTTAAACACCGTAACCATAATACAACACTGACTTAAACTTACCTTTGAGCTTCAAAAAAAGCATTAATATGTTTGACATGTAAATAAAAGGTGCCCAAGCTGCGGACTGTAACGATCTTTATTCCTACAGTATTTGATTTCCGATGGTGAAAGAATTGATGAAATTGAGCCTTGAGGCTCTAAATCCAACCTCTGATTACATTCCCAGAAAGCAGGAATTGAGAAGTGTGTACGCATGTGCAAGGTGACGTATTTTCCTTGTGTCATTCGATTGGCAAAATTTAGGCTACTACAAAAATAAGGGTTTTGTGTGGTGGGTTTGAAAATGTTTTGGAATATGTTTTGGGCTATAAAAATGTTACTTCGTTCCCCTAACTGGAGTTTTATCCATCATCAATATCTAGGCCACTGGTGCTACATAATACATTAAAGAGTATTCAGTGTTGCAAAATCAGTTCTCTTCTAAAAAGCAAAACTAAACAAATTTGCTACTATCTATGTTAACTTTGTAGAGACATTAATAAATATTTTCAATGCAAGGAAGAACATAATCAAATTTAGGAATAAAATAATTTCTGATCTGAGAATAGAAAGAACAAATTAATGTAAAATGGAATTCAACTTCAATTACAGAATTTACAAAAACTACATTTAAACAAAACTTAGTAAACAGTCTACGTTTAAAATCTTCTAATACTTAATTTTGAGTGTAAAGTAAATTGTTCAAAATATTTCTGTTTATTAAGGTCAATTAATCTAAATTTTTAAATAAAAAAAACTTAAAAGTTCTTGGATAAATCTGTTCTTGTTTTCAACTTTTCGAAGTCAGTGGAATGTTTCATGCTTAGCACAACACGATTCAAATGCTATTTAAGCATAATGAATTGGATAACGAAGATCAGAAAAACCGCAACTTACATACCGGGTCTGACGCTGAGCCCATGGAATCAAACGACCCTGTAATAGTTATTTTAGGTAAATTTATTATAATTATGAAAACATAATATTGTTGTCGTTATAACCATCACAGTACAGTACTGTAATGACAACTTAATGTCTTGATCAGCTTTCGAAATTTCATTCAAAATAGTTCCACGTTGGATAGACTGACAAAATAAAATGGTATTTACAAAATTTAATGATAAATATATACATATCACAATGAATGTGCGTTTAACAGTTAGCCATTACAATTTACCATACTGATACTATTAATAATATAACAAACAGATAATCATAATAATAATAATAATAATAATTATTATTATTAATATTATTATTATTAATACATACTAAATAGTATTATGTATAATAGCAACAACAATCATAACAATAACAGTAGCCATATAGTAACAATACCAATAATATTTATAATAACAAAACAATATATGTATTTATTAGGCGTATACAATAAATACAACAAAATACCACACAACACATTTATGGTACGGTTTGTAATTGATTAAAATAATATACTGTAGTAAATTTACATAAACGTCAAGATAAAAGAATATAATTTAAGCCAGCACCATATCGTAGTTCATAATAAAGATTTCAAAGATTTTTGACTATAATAATTTACAATGCTAAGATTAGGCCGTAGAAATTGTATTCGCAATCTTTTAATCAAAGAGCGATATAAATATGTGCTATTAAGACGTAGTAATAAGCCTATGTAAGAAAATTATAATCCATTTTGGCTTTGTGCAAACAAATAAAATTACGGCCTCTTATTATCATCGTTAAGTTATTATATTTATTACTTGAAAAATGTATAACCAAAATATAAAGACTTTGGTAGGCTTTGGCAACAGTAACGTACGGGTGTAAGGCGACAAAGAATAAGCGGAAACCCTGAGCTTCCCTTGCTTATCATTTGTGTTGCTTTCATCTTGATTATATAGGCCTATATAATAATAAGTTGTTTTATTCTTCATAAGAAAGTTCGTCAATACAATTTTGCAAATGATTACTCCTTACTTTCATGTTTAATTTATTTTTGTCTTGGAATGAAATCAAATTGGTTCGTCATAATACAACATGGCGTCCATCTCCTGAGATTGCTCTAAAAACCAACCGTAATTTTACCAATGTCATAATATCTGCACTCTCAACCCAGTCAATATTGCAGTCAATCATTGGGCGCGCAAGTGTTTCCAAATTTCGTCTGTAATTCTTCAAGCAATATTTATTTTAGATTAAATATTTTGGTCCGTGTGTTTCCACGTGTATTTTTTTTTTTTTATTAACGACAATGAAAAACTAAAGGGACGCGGGAATACAACACAGCAACCGTTGGTAGCAGTACCGTGCCCAGTAAAATAAATCACGACACTTTTCTCTTGTATCTCCAGATAAAATAACCTGGTAGATCACATCTAGTATGTGGCTATCCTTCGAAACTTCAATGTGTTTATACGTGCGTTACAAAACACATCACGTTCATTGAAGCGTCCAAGAAAGTGGTAATTGATTGGTTTAACAAACATTGCAGCTTTTTCTACAGTTGTTGTACATGTAGTGTGGATTCTTCTGGCACTCACCACGGAATGCCCAGTCAGGACAGTTAGAATTGTCATCTCCACATGCTCCTACATAAAACAAAAAACGATACAACAGTTTATAAACTACATAGGCCTATATAACACTGATAAGTACTTCAACAAGTAGCTGTATAAATCTTAATGTAGTCGACTATAAACAGCACCTTAAAACGATTAATGTCAAAATTAGGAAATATTTTTAGTGCAGTAGTATGCAAGTCAAATACCGGTAAGGTCAACCTTAACCGCCGGTTAAGGTTGACCTTATCGGTATTTTTTTTTCTAAATGAACACAAATAGGCAAATTAGGGGGTGAAAATAGGGTTTTCATAACCTCGTGACAATATTAAAGCCATATAAGACACCAACCTCATATCCCAAGCCTAAGAACAAGTCCACAAACAACAAATTATTAATAAAGACCAATTTTAGAACCAATTGCATATTTTTAACTAAAATCTTTCGACAGCCTTCGCGTCTTCTTGTTTTTGAATGTTCGTTTACCTTATTCTCGACTAATATTTCATGGGAAATTATTTGAACATACATATTTAAACATTAAAGTAAAGTATAGAATTTAATGATAATAATAACGTAACAGCAAAACTATCAATACATTTCTTACCTTCACAGGTGTTGCAACTAAAAGGACAATTTCTTCATCCATTTATATTATAAACTGAACTGTGATATGTTTTATAGAGGTCAACTGAGGTCAAACTGATGTTAAATTATAGTTTTTTCTAAATGAACACAAATAGGCCTTAGAGCTGAAACTCCGAACATTACATCTTAATCACATGTATCAGTCATAAGTAGATTATACTAAAATGTAAATTAGGGGTGAAAATAGGGTTTCCGTAACCTCGTTACAATATAAAATCCATATAAGACACCAACCCCATATCCCAAGCCTTAGAACAAGTCCACAAATTATTAATAAAGACCAATTGTAGAACCAATTGCATATGTTTAACTAAAATCTTTCGACAGCCTTCGCGTCTTCTTGTTTTTGAATGTTCGTTTACCTTATTCTCGACTAATAGGTATTTCATGGGGAATTGTTTGATCATGCATAATTAAAAATTAAAGTGAAGTATATAATTTCATGATAATAACGTAATAAAAACACTATCAATACATTTATTACCTTCACAGGTGTTGCAACTAAAAGGACAATTTCTCTTCATCCATTCTGAGTTTTCGGAGCATTGGTTTGATTCTGCCCAATCTGGACAGTAATCATTCAAATCCCGACATCCTATAGAATATAATCACATTTTGCTCTTTACGTTTTCATATACATTAAGAAGCTCCGTACAATAAGTCTACGCTTTGAAGATATTTTCCAACAGTGGCACGTACAAGACAGGTTGTGAGTCATTGGAAATAAATAAATGTTTGTTTATTTTACGGGTCGTCCGTGCATCCATTTTCCGTTTATAACAGGAAACTTTCTCTACATTTTATGTCATTTTTTTGTATTGTATTTGAATGGACGCTAAATAAATAAAGTAAAGTAAATTAGTATATCTGTTATATATTTAAACGTACCATCTTTTGGACTTTCCGTAGCATATGGGTCTGCTGTTTCAGTGGTGGATGGGGAAATTGTTGTAGCATAGCAAGTCCCACACGTCTTCTTGCAGAACATATCCATCCACTCTGGGTTGATAAGGCACTCTCCTAAATTCGCCCAGTCTTGACAGGCTTCATGTTCGTCAACACATTCTGCAATTAAAACAATTCCATATTATCATGCATATTAGTTGTTTGTAAGTGTATCAATCGATGAATTATTTTTTTTAAATAGTGGTGGATATAGATCGTTGAATGAGATTCTTGGTAATCCGATTTCAGGTCTTGCTTTCAAATCCTGTAATGTCATCTGTATGGGGTTTTAATTTCTCATGACTAAACAAAATTCCACCACCAAGTCTAATACTTCCATTCTATAGTTGGCGAACAGTGGTACGTAGATGAAGATTTTCTTAATCTAAATGTTTGACATTTTCAGGAGGCCAACTTGTACATTCCCTTGCTTTTCCTTTATCGATTGTAGACGCTGCACTAGTTCAACTAAACGGATCAGATTTACGCAGTCAGCTCAGGTTTTCAAACAGTACGTTACTTATTCATTCCAAAAGTTATTGTTTTTAATTGTATATAACTTGTACACTGTTCATCGCTTTGATTTGAAAAGCGCTTTATTAATAATTTTATTTTTATTATAAACGGTTACTTCTGACCATTGTGCGCCCTGACTAGAAGATAAGCACTTATGTTTTATTTTACTCTTGAGAGAGTCCGTACTTCCATAAATACCGTAGTTTTATATTAATATGTACTATCGTAGATACGAGACATGTCATAGGTATTACTCTGTTTGATTTCGAATAATTATAATTGGAGGAATTGATGGCAATGACTATCCATAGGTAAATAACGGACCATCAATGTATGCGGAAGTATTTTCAATGTAATTATGACTTAAAGTGAATTATTAGTAACTTTACCTTCATCGATAATATCTTCGTCTGACTCCATCTCTTCCTCTTCAATCGTATTGTATATATAACTATTGCTACCGTCACAATTCATCAGCATCGGAGTGTTCTCAATCGTTCCTGTTAAAAGAAAAACATCAGTAGAAAATACTTGCATTAGGCAATGTATAAGTAAACTTTGTCTATGTTTTATATAACTAATGCCGGTTCTTTGCCCTTTAATTGGATGTGAAATAATCTATTTCAAAATTACATTAAATATTGGCTAAGCCTATAAAAAAAGAACTTATACTATCTCAATCGAAAAAAACTATTTTTGATTTTTTACAAATACCCACCCTTTGTATTGCATCTATCGGCCATACGATTGGCACAAGGAAACACCTCCACCATAAGGCTATAGAGAGCAGGATCGTAGCGCTCCAACTTCAAGCGGGTGTTGATCTCGTTATGACTCCCAGGCATCCGCTTGGACTGTACATAAAAAAAACTCTGCACACCCTCCGCGAAATACTCTTCACTTGTATCGTCTGCCAGCGTATTTACCCATAATCCTGTTCTTCTGGCATTCCAGTACGCCAGACGGAGTCTTTTCTGAAAGTCTGTTATTTTTGTAACGAGAGCAATTTTATGAATAGTATGTGCTAAGTTATGGACAAACAAGTCTTCTCCTTTTTTAGAATCATTTTTAAAACATAAAATGTTCTCTTCAGCACCAGTAACGATTGGCATATGAAGTGTTCCAGGCAGCCCACGTACATCTGTGTTAAAGACTTCTGGGAGGTGCGAGTGTTCCGGAATGTTTCGAGTAGTCTCTCCTTGGGCCATCACTGCCACTCGAACGTATTTTATATACATAGCGTGTCTTAGATCTCTCCTGTCGGCTAAAAGGAATCGAACAGTGTAGCAGGCTCTTCTTAGCGCGGCATCGGACACTCGGTGAGACCCGACGATTGGAATGTTATAAGCATGGAGGTATTTTCTGTAGAAGTAACTTAGACCGAAGGTCTTACGAACATTTACTGGAACTCCAATGATCTCACTGCACTGCCATTTGTCCGAGATGCTACCGGGACGTATACCAGTGTTTCGTTGCACATACTGCATCGAGACAGCTAAATATTCAATTTAGAAAATGGAAACATGAACACGTATATAATAGAGTTCAACGTTGATCTAAATAACAGCCTACACTTATTGTTATCATCCCCCTTCTCCACATCATCATCACCATTCATAATCATTATAATCTTCATTATCGTTATTATTATTAGTTTGTATTATATATTTATTTTAATTTTATTTAATTTCACCCCAACACCGTATACGCCAAAAACATGGATCATACACTAAATACAATATAAAACATGGGCAGATCGAGATATGTCTAAACAAAGGGGGAGGGGCAAAAGGGGAAAAAAGGGTGGAATTGTCGAGACAACTCTACCTTAGGGGTTCCAGAGGCATACCCTTGCGAACCTTTTGTTTTCTAGACGTCCGTAAATAACCTCCGAGACGTTTTAGGCCATAATTTTTTTTTCTTTCCAAAAGGAGGGTCGGGGCCGGCCCGGCCCCCTAAATTCGCCCCTGTAAAATCATCATAAAAACGATATAAATAACCAATAATAGTAATATTATCATTATCACTATCATTATAGTAATTAATTATAGTGTTTTCATAATGTGTAATTTTAAACGTTGAGGTACATTAACTATCCGTTGATAAACAAATATATGTTTTCGTTGATTTCCTTAAGTTAGAAACACAATAGGCAACAGTTTGGCTATCAATATAATCCTGCGTGAATGGCAAACTTCAATATTGATATTCTAATCGATTTGGCTTCGACATCATTCATACATATCAACCGAATAAAATAATTTAAAATTCGGCAGCCCGAAAATCCCCATAATGGTTTATTTTCAAAACAGTCAAACAGTCAAAATAGAATGTTGGCTCACCATAATCATCGGAATTTCGTAGAAAATGTAAAATTGGTTTGTTGTTTTCTGTAACTCGACCACCAGCTGAAAATGGAGATACGTTATGTATTAACATAATGTGAAAGTTTCCTTTTATTTATATACGGTATATAAGGCAACCTTCTTTTTCGTACACGCAGTTTTCTCTTCTTCCGAAGTCCAAAATGTACCGTATATATAATTATAGCTTTTCCACAAGATGGCTTTAGTTTATTTTAAATTATATCATTTATATATATATATATATATATATTATAATTTAATATAAATATTATATTTATTATATATTTTTATATTTTATATAATTATTATATATTATAGCTTTTCCACAAGATGGCTTGAGTTTATTTTAAATTATATCATTTATTTATATATTTTATATAATTATTATATATTATACATATTATGAATATATTATATATATGTATATTATATATATAATATATATGTATATGTATATTATATATATAATATATATATGTATATATATATATATATATAAGTATAGGCCTATATATAATATATACATAATATATATAATATATATCATTTTAACAAAATAGAATCATTACATGTGGGAGATTACTGATGCATTAATGACCGATTCTATTGATACTCAATTATATAAAATTAGGACAACAGTACTTTTTAAGAAAACGATTTTAAGGTATTAATGGCGTTATTGATAAACAAATCAATGACAATCAATAAACCTACGTATCCCATCGTCTCTAAAACAATGTTTACATGACATTGGGCAGTTAGTACCCATCCATACACTATTGAGGCTGCACTCATCACGTTCAGCCCACCCAGCGCAGTCTGCATGAGAGTCGTAGCAGTACTCTGTAAAAAGCAAAGGTGGTACCGTTATTAATTGTCCTGAGTGATTGCTGATTGATTAGATTTGTTGATTGATGGAATAATTGACAAATTAATTGATCAGCGAAGGCTTAAATAGAGCAAGATAATCTACTATGAAACACAGAAAGATTTACTTCACATGAGGCTTCTTTGCATGAGATGTACAAATTGGCAGTTGATTACTATACAGGTTAAAAAGAATGTACAACCCCCCCCCCAAAAAAAAACTCCCTAATATAATTACAGTGTTACAATATGTGTCTTACAATTCAATGTTTTAATTTAATGTTTGAGGTTTTAGTTTATTCAACAAAGACAACAAAACTAGACAAAATTTAAGAACTGTAAAAGAATCCATCTCCCACTCTCTCTCTCTCTGAGCGCTTTTCCACGTCGCGCCGTCTGCTGATTGTTGGTGGCAGTCTGAGAAAATCTTCATTAAATACGATCCGTGCACGCGTTGCCGACTTGCGTTCTCTATAGAAGCGCGTCGGCCGACGACCGCCAGGTGTCTCGCTTAAGGCAACTTACGACAATTTTCTTCATCAGTGCTGTCAGAGCAATCTTGATTTCCATCACATATGAACCGCCGATCCAGACAATAATCACCAGCGGCACATTGGAACTCGTTGTCCCGGCAGTCTATCTTACCTAACATGGTAAAATAATAGGATCCCAAATAATTATAATGAGAAAATAAACCATACATTTCGAATCTGGTCAGATCCTGTCTCTTATACACATCTAGATGTGTATAAGAGACAGCAACATAGCATATTAATCACGCTACACCCGATTCTTAATAGTTATATTATTACTAAAATAGATTCCTTTGAGTCTTGTTTTATATTAACAAATGTCGACAGTAACAAAACTGAAAATAATGAGATCGAAAAAACATCTCAAATTCAAGTTTATACACGCATGTGCATGTCAAATGCCAAAGCATATAAAGAGTCTAGACTACTCTGTTACAACAAACTACTGAGCTATAATAAATATTATCATCTTTCCACGAACAAACTCACTTAGATCAGTGTCTGGGATGGACGAACATGTATTGTTATTTGCAACCAATTGATATCCAGATTTACAAAAACACAGATAGGATCCTGGGTAATTGACACATCCCTGTTGACACGAATCAATGTTCCGATCACACTCGTCAATATCTGAAATCAGGAGAGAATTAATTAGAAACAAATTAATAACTTTAAGTTTCCAAATCAGCACCGCGCCAAGATAATTATTTGGAGGGCACTCTACAAGGTCGTGTAAGGGATTTGAGTAACTCGTGTACGGGATTTGAGCAAGTTGTTAATACTGTATAAACTGTGTATTAAACAAACGACCTTCTTAAAGACCAGTGCACTGGGAAACGGTGTTTTATTTTTATTAAATTAGGGTTATTATATAAATAATTCAATTCAGGTAAGTGCGGTTGAAGCAGCTGGAAAGACGAAATTTCTTCTACATCGTATCGGCACCAGAGACAATGATTTTTGGTTGCGATCGTAACTTCTAACCCATTTTTAATAATGATTTGGGATTTTATCGTTAATTCAACAAACCTTATTGGCCCTTATCGTTGTCACAGCTGCTGCCGACATATTGTCTCATTAAGTGGGCTTGTTTGGTTTCATAACAAGTCTTCGCCTTTAAATTTTGGTCACAAAGCCTCATTTTATACTACATTGGAATCAAACTGCGCAAACAGATTTTAATTTCGGCGTGACAATCGCAGTACTATTCGGAGCTGCTACCAGGGTGGGATAAGTTAGCCACAATTCTCCTGTGTATTGTCAAATGATTAAGGCTCAAAAACAGTTTTAGTGCCGTTAAAGTTACAGTCCCACCACAATACCGTGTCAAAAAGTACGTGATTCAGTGAATTTTAACGATCAAGCAGACATGCCTTGGTGCGCTGCAAAAATATGTAATTTTGATGTTTTTATTCAAAGATAGGTGGATACGGGTTTCTAAAGAGATTATAACATGAGCACTTGGGAATGATGTCACTTTAACTTCATAGTGGGTATAGAATAAGGGATTTGTGTCGTGCAATTCGTTTCAAATTTCTAATTCATACGCGAGATTGTTATTACGCCACAGGGGTAGTTCAATATTATGGTAAGTGTACACGTGTTCATAGGGCGGTATATTGCATTTCAATGACGGCTCTATTACAACCAGTAAAAGATAGTAGACCTAGTGTATACAGTTTTAGGCTACTGTGTTATTGTTGTAGTAGTGGTCCTACATATAAATACAGTAGTCGAGTAGTATAGTGGAATCGTTAAAGCCACTGCAAGCACCTCTAAGTGCCTAGAATTTGCACTGAGATTGTAAAAATATTTTTCCATATACCTGTATTATTAACGACAAAATCATTTGATTCTTCCCCGACAGGGGTCATGAACCCCTTCCCTCTTTCCTTGCTGGCACCACCACTTGGCAGTAGGCCCGCCTAGTAGCAGTAGCACAGTAGTAGTGGCTATAAATACTCGATTGTGTTTGTGTAACGACTATTACAACACATAGCTACCTTCATATATATTAGACTATTGCACATTTCATTTTATAGAACAGTTGGCGGTACCAATGGCACATGTTCTTTACCTTCGCATGCTCGGGAAATGAGGTTGTACCGATATCCTTCTCTAGGACAATCACATCTACAAGTACTCGAGTTGAGGGTTGCATCGTCCAGACAGATCTGCCCTCTACATGCTAAAATAACAAAATGTGAATGGCATTAGTCGCCTGCATCTGTGCATCTGAGTCGATTTGAACCACAAGCCGAGGAGAAGAGAGAAAGAAAAAGAATTTAAAATAGGAAAAGATAGGGGGATAATACAGAAGAAAAAGAAGAAAAAAAAGAAGAAGAAGAAGAAGAAGAAGAAGAAAGAGAAGAAGAAAAAGAAGATAGTAAATAAGACAAATGAGAGAATGAAGTGAGAAAAAGGATGAATAAATGAATAGAACGAACATACGAAAGAACGAACGAACCAGCAAATGAATGGGTAAGCAAGAAGACAGACATGTACGTACGTAATACAATAGGAACTTTATTGCACTGCCATCCGTTTAGATGAAGTATCTGACCAGGTGGGCAAATGCATCGGAAACTTCGATAGCTGTTAGTACAGTTGCCTTGACAACGCTTGCCAAAGTCGGTCGCGCATTCATCGATATCTAAAAGAATAGAGTTATCATTATTCAAATTAGTGCCGAAAACTTACTTTAGCTTTGTGATATAGAGTGATTTTTAGGGCGCAGATCTGTTTTGAAGGGTGGGAGGAGCAGTCGTAAGTTGAAAATTTGAGGAAATAGTACCTTTAGATGGCCGGAAATTACACTCTTTATATAGTAAAATTCTTCGTCATTTACTCTGGCTCTCTAGCGTCCTTTCGTTAAAACCTGGGTCATTTTATGCAGCTCATTTCAACAATTTTCTGGAATATTGACTTATGAAATTACATTGCGGTCAAATAAAATAATACTTAAAAATATGTGAGGGGGGGGGGACGTTCTCCATTCCCATAGATCTGCTCCCATGGTGATTTTACTTATCGACAGTTATATAACATTCTAAATATGTCTACTATTATTCCAAGTATATATATTTTTTAAATATTGACACTCCCTCATTCTGAATTTCATTCTCTTGTACGTAGGCTTACATTTATTATTTCAAGATAAAGTGTATCATGCAATCAGAGCATAATATTAAACCAACGAAAATGTGTGTACTGTATTACTATACTGTAGTGTATACTAAATGTTGTTACATTTATCTGAAACTATAAAATATATCATTTAAAACAATTATCTGTATTTACTTCAAGGAAGAATTATTATTTTATTTTTCAATAAGGAAAAGGGTTCAAGTGCCATTGGGTCGACGCACACCTACCGACACACTTGCGTTTTACACGACTGTACTCCAATCCGACTTTCTTGCACTTACAGGAGCAGGTTATAAGATCGAGTCTACTGCCACCTTTACAGCGTAAATCACAGGCTACAGGAATAAATGGAAAGAGTATTGGAGAGAGAAACGGAAACAATAATTTACGACCTGTTTTGAAATCTGAGCAACCTCATTGAAGAGGTAATGTAGGATGCTATGGCATGCATTTGCTCCCCCATGGAGGAATACCGATAAGTTTAGAAAACTAAACTTATTCCTCTATGGTCCCCTTGAGGAGCTATTTTTTTCTTTGTGTATTATTCCCGACCACTAGCCCGCCTAGCTCTTTCCATAACCCCTTTAATCAATAGGGCCTACTAAATATACCTATTATTATTATTATTATTATTATTATTATTATTATTATTATTATTATTATTATTATTATTATATTATATGCCAAGCTTATACAACTGACTGCCTCGTGTTGATTAAGGAAGGCCTTGACGTAAACACTATTTAAAAGTATGCTTATATAATTAAGGTTATAGCAAATGAAAACGAGGAAGAAAAAAATAAATATTTAAAACAATATGTTCTGCCTTCTAAAGTGAATGCTAATAAACTTAAATTAAGGGAAAAGCACAATTTCCTAATGTAAAAATCTTATATTATTTTATAAAATGCATTTAATTTTTCTTTTCATTTTGTTTTATATTGACTAATAAGAAAAGGAAGACAAATAAAGTTGGGTGAACCCCACGAAAGACAAAATAAAAAACAACCCAGTATTTAAAAGTACATACGAAACTTATATACTTATTAAAAGCACGATATACCTACCTCCACTGTCAGTACCCCTCTCCTGTAAGATAAAAATGGAAACGTTAAGTATTGCAATCATAATTGCATAATAAAAAATAATGATGATATACAGTACTTTATGATTATGATGGTGATAATTATGATGATCTTGGTGATGGTGACAACATAATAATAATGTTATTAGTAATAATTTTTATATTTTAATTTTCCAAACAAATTATGATTGATCTTGATATGACAATGAATGATGAGGATGATTGTGATAATGATGATGATGGTGATGATGATGATGATGATGATGATGATGATGATGATGATGATGATGATGATGATGATAATAATGATGATAAATGAACGTGTTGTGCAATAGGCACGTCACATGGAGCTGAAGTAACTGACCATAAAAATAATGATGGAAATATAATTTCGTATTTTGTGGATCATTGGGTCAATTTAAAATCTACTATTGTTGAAATAACGCAGCTGGCTACAGAACTTGTAAAAAAATTAATATACGATTTCGTACGCATGACTATACCTCGTCCTACCGTGAACAACCATTCGAATGACCGCAGATTTCGAAAGCTAGAAACACTTAAGCAAGTAATGCGAGGGGTGCACAGGGCATGGTCCAATTAACAAGGATAAACACTTTAACACTTCGAAACGCGATCGAAATAACCAACATATGGTGAAATGTTTTGATGATCAACATCCAGGAGGTTTCTATCTAGGTTCAGTGACGAAATTGGGAGAAAAATCAAAGCCTCGCGTCTCTTCTTTGGCCTACTCGCACAGAAACATATTTTGGCAAAATTAGAATGTTCGGAAAGTATGCCGGTACGCTGATTCTGTATCAAATTGTTGGTACTCACAAGGCAACGTGAGTGTCCAACCACGATCCCATTTAGTCCAGGACAATCAGAACATTGTGACACAAAATTAAAATGTTATATTTTGTGTCACGAATGGGACTAAAAGGCAAATTCCCTAGAATGTGGCCATACAACGTCATCATGATGTCATTGACTCTGAATAGGCATGAACATGACCCCAAACATATTCAATTGTAAATCTTTTTAATGGGAACTTCATTTATCTGCTTATTTTCCTAACTTCACGATATAATACGCATATGATTATGATTGATAATGATGAGAGGTGATGCCATAATGATACCAGTGATGATGAATGGTGATATGGAGAAGGGATTGTGGGTCGTGGGGATGATGAAGACGAAATGATGATGTTGATATGGGAGGTTGAAGATAAGAATAATGGTGATGAAGATGACGAGGATAATAAAACGATGGCAACAACCAGGAAGATGATGCACAAACGCGATGATATTGGAATAAAGTGATGCTTAAGAAATTTATATAGATATAACACTGATGGCAATAGTGACAATAAAAAAATAATGATTAATTCAGTGCTGACCACTATATGAGCTGGCGTACCGTATCTGATTCATAGTCTAAGCCTACACTACATACCACAGTCAATAACAGACTGAGGGGTGAAATGTCGGCATGAGAAGCAAAGTGCCGTTTTAGAATACTATGGCGTAGGCCAAAGAGGACTACCATTAAAAAACATCTGTAGTTTTACAAAAATTTAATGATGATGATGATAATGATGATGATGATAATAATAATTAACGATGACAGTGGTGTTGAGCATGTGTAGGCTAATTGGCTAGGCCTACACAGCCAACCTCATGCTTGAGAGAGAATTTATATAGCTTATATTAATGATGCTTTGAAGGAGCAAGACGAACACAAACAAATATTACGTAACTTGAGGAAACTTTAACAACAGTTAATAGATTTTTTGAGAATTTGAGTGCGCTGCCAATCCACGAATCAGGCATCCCACCTAAAGACGAAGATGTACAGTAGGCATTCCTTTATTCATTCATATTACACTTATTCAGTTAACCAAAAGCAAAAGGAAAGAAAAAGGGAAAAAAATCAAACAGTCTATTACAAAAAGAATTGATTAATTTTTAACTGGAATCAAACGTACAAGCAAAGCTTGTCTTAGTTTAACCCCCGACGATAAATTTTTAAATAATTCTTTTATTTTTCTTTATTACGTGTCATGTCATTATTACCTGTTTAAAATGTTTTATCAATATCACATAATTTTGGCCCATAGACAGAAATAAACAAAAATTGAATTCTTTTCAGTCTTACAAAAGGAATATGGGTAAATTTGAGTTCTTTGGATAATAAAGAATCTTTACCTCTAATATCCCAACGCTAATAATACATCAGAAATATGTAATCATTACATCTATTACGGACACCTACTGAGATTTAACTGGCCTCTCTGTATGTTGCAGTTGTCTATAGTTGGTTCGGGGTTCACAAAACGTTAGCGTACGTTTCTTTGATCAAAGCCACTTAAATATCATCGCCAACGCTGTTATAAGGATATTAACAAGCGTGACCTAATTAAATCGCCGTTGGGGCATTTATTCAAATAAACGAATGTTATTTAAGTATAAACGGTAGTACTATGTTGTAATGGAAATAATAAAACTATCTTTTATGGGAAATGATAACATAATAATCGCAACGGCAATACGGCAATTGTTAAGACTAATGCAGTAGATATTATTAATTAGGCATTAGGCTATAGCTTAATAATAGAATAGGGGTAATTAATATTATTATAATAATAGAGTAACGTATTTATCATTACTGTAGTAGGAATAACTACATTAGTCGTTAATAACAAAATATTAAATATGATGTTAAACAAATTAATACAGCCAGACAGTTACACCGAAACAATTTACACAAGCCCAACATTGGCAAGCTTTGGTTTCAAATTCCTCCTCGTACCAAAGCCCATCAATTGACTCTGCAGCATCTCGCACTTGATGATGATGATGATGATGATGATGATGATGATGGTGATAACATGATAATGATAAGGGTGATGATGAGGATGATGATGAGGATGTTGATGATGATGTTGATTATGACGATATAACAATAATAATAATAATAATAATAATAATAATAATAATAATAATAATAATAATAATAAATAAAAAATAAAAAATTAAAATAAATAATAATAACCAGCCCTCTCGCCAGGATTTTTTTTAAAAGTGTGGCGGAATTTCAGAAAATGTTGTCCAAAAACTTTAAAGGGTGGTGCACAAAACTGTAAAGGATGGATACATTTTTGGTACTATATATGGGGTCAGATACGACGCAGTATGACCTGTGTCCCAAAATTTAATTTTTATTATTAGTAGACTATCTACCTATAAAATCGATTAAACAGGCCTCCTGGACCACTTAAGACATTTTACCTTTCCCCTCAATTGCCTCCCCCCCCCCACCCAGATTTCAGACGCTGGAGCCGCCACTGGTCGCCTTACACTCCCATAGGTATCTTGGTTTAGCCGTACATTTTTTTGAAATACCGAGCCGAAATTCAGTAAAAAAAAACGTGTTTTATAAAAAATTCACGCAAATTAAATTAATAAATGTTGTTTTATTAATCACTTCACTTAATATTGCAATCATCACGGTACGGTACTGAACGCGCCCTCCACTAGTCGACCAGGGACCTCCCTGTGTTCACAGGTACCTACTTGCACGCACCAGACGGCGTACGACGGGATCCTGTAGTCGGGCTTGAATATGAAGGCGGTGCCTCACGGTGACATGCGATTGAACAAGTAGGCTACTGTTCCCACTTCGGGTTCGACACTTCGGTATTTATGGTTGTAACGTTTTGAATAAAATACATAGTAAATATTTTTTTAGCGTGGCGCTAACATTTTAAGCGTGGTGCAATCTTTGCTTATTTTTCCCAAGCGAGGCGGTCATTTCGTTTTTTCGTCCAAGCGTGGCGGTCCCGCCACGTTTAAGTATAGCTGGCGAGACCCCTGATAACTATTACTTTTACTTCTGTTTGTAAAACAGAACATAGGGCTTTTCCTCGTGGCTATAATGTGAAAAGATGTTAAAATTACAAAAAAAAAAAATAATTTAAAAGTCAATCGTGAAACAACACACGAAAACAAATGAAATCATACAGAACATTATGAAGAAAATTCTGAATTTTAAACACATGAAATTCACCAGACGTCAGGGAAACTCGAACTATAACTGCTGTTATATTACAAATGTATAGAATGGTGTCATAATTTGATATACAGATGGTTGATATGGTCTTTGCTTTGACAATGTTTGAAGAAGATTCAAGCACGAAGTAACCAAAGTGCCGGTCAGAAAAAACTCTGTGCAAAAAGAAAAAATAGATTAAAAAATATATATATAAAGAACAAGAACAACGGCTATTTGTAAACAATCAGGTAAAGAAAAGCAGGAAAACTAAATCGACGTTAGTAATACTCCACCTATAGCTGCAATGGCAATAGTGATGTTGATATATGGAAACTTATGCCTATAACTATGAGCCGAACCTGCGTAGGTCAGTGCTTTTTTAGTTCATAGCTATTCAGTGAGTGAAAGCAAAAATTGTTCATGCATATCACGGTAATTGTGCGTTTAACCTAGCTGCAGCTGGTTTAAACGCTTTAGAAAACGCAAATTGAGTTTATATAATTTAATCAACTGTCCAAAAAACTTTTTAAATGGTCCTTATATCCACACCCTACTCCGGATCGTCACTAAAATGTAATCATTTATTCATTGGACCATGGAAAACTGTTCTGAAAAGTTTCATTTAGATCCATTTCTAAGTTTTTAGAGATATTTAGGTCTGAGACCGTAGCAATTTAAATGACCCTCAAATTCAAACCCGAATCCGGATCGTCATCACAATTTAGTGTCTTCCCTTTAACTTGGTTAAACTTTCCTGAAAGTTTCATATTCAGATCAGTTTATCCGTTTTTGAAATGTTTGATCTGACATTTTTCTTTGAATGGTCCTCATATCCACACCCTACTTTGGATCGTCACCAACATTTAATCATTGCTTTATTGGACCATGTCAAACTATTATAGAAAGTTTCATTTATATTTATATCCATTGATACGTTTGTTGAGTTATTTTGGTCCATGACGTCAGAAATTAGAATGACCTTCACACTTACACCTTAAACTGGATCTCCATCAAAACATAATAATTTCTTCCATGTAACTTGGTTAAACTTTCCAGAAGGTTTTATTTACATAAGATTATTAGTTTTTTTATATATCTAGCGTGGAGTGTTTGCCTTTAAATCGACTTAATTGGTCCGCACATCCCCACCCCACTCCGATTGTCACTAACCTTTACGTGGCACATCTTTGGTATATAGTCCATATTTGCATAAAGTTTGGAAAAGATGAAAGCATGGAAAGGTACCAAAGTGCCAAGCGCAAAAAACAAAAACAAAAAAAAACCCTGTGCAAAAAGATAGGAAAAACTATATGCAAGAAAAAAACAATCAGAACAAAAACAATGGCTTTTCCTGCTACTGCTAGGAAAAGCCAATTATAATAATATATTATAGTTTACAAAACCAAAAATGTATAAGAATCAATGTAAACAAATTGATAATGAAATGCGACGACTCAAATTACATCGATGATTAAATATCAATGGGCATATCTTCACACAGCACGTGGATGAATAGACAAGAGTAATAACGATCCTAATCTGCTGTATCTAGCTCATGAGAGCACAGTTAGGTATTCTGGAAACGTGAAGGAAGAGGTTAGTAGTATTCTGGTAATTATCAATTTATATTTGCATATCACGTAATTGCAGGCAGTTTCTTAAAAATGCTTATATATCTGTGTTTTAAGGTTAAATATTAGTTGACAAATTTTCCAGGAAAGAATTATTAATCAAATAATCTTAAAGTATTCTTTGGGAAGTCTAATCGTGATCGTTACTATAAATATTTTTATAATAGCCATCTACGGAAGTTTAAATTTGGTTTTTTTTTCATTGCGTCTAAATAATACAGGACTCCAATCTACGACTATGTATTTGATTTTTATAAAAATGATATTTTTTAAATTATAATTAGGCCCCTATATAGAAAATTAGAATCCAATTCGAAAACCGAATAGACGTATTCTCAAATTTCCTTAAAGAAGCAGGTAAACTAAAATCCTTGATAATTAAACCAAAGAACGTAAGTTGATAAGAAAAAAATTTATTGAAGATATGTTTCGGAGTAGCAACAACCCATCATCAGAACAGAACAGAACAGGTGAAACGAATATATAAACAAGCCCTTCTTCTGGACTACCGTATATATTGTTCACTGTTATGCTGCAAATGTGGTACATGGGTTATCAAATTAATGAATAGCTATGGTAAATATATGCAAAGTATCTAGGACCTTGCATATACGATGGTGAAGGTTTTCCCCCAGTTTTTAAATATTCAACAATGTATCTCATTAACTGTTCCCGAGTTTGTTCGTCAAACAACTTTTTTTGTGTCTTATAAAAATTAGTTCTACAATATATCAAACATTTTTCTTCCAGAGCCTGACTTTTAAAAGACTGAAGATTTGATATATCATTTACTTATTCTTTTATTCCAAAGATGTAACATACCACGTAAAGTTCCCTTTTCGTTACATTAAAAGACAGTCCATGAAGTAACTTTTTGCTACTTTATAGACTGTCCTTTAAAATGGGCACTTTGCCAGATTCAAAGAACGGCATATAAAACATAAACGAATAAATCTGAATAGGTGATGTTAACCCAGTGTTAGTAAAAACACTGCAAAAATGTCAAGCTAATAGTTTTACCAAAACTACCGGTATGGTAAATAAGTACACAAATTTAGGCCTATCTTTAAACCACATTTATGACATCTTAACAATTCAAATATTGAGTAGTTGCACTCTAACTTGTAAAGTGAACTATTTTGAAAAAGTATGAGCTATTATAGTAGTTTTAGTGGCATATATCTATGTTTGCGTATGCCTTGTATCGTTGGCATATGGGCCCTGATTCTTGATTACACGAGCTCAGGATAGTCACCTTTTGCGGCGGCTGATTGAATTTCTCCAACTAACTACCAGAGGGCTAACATTTTAATTGTTCTTATTCTAAATATAGCAGTCAGTCAAAAAAAAAAACATAATTAATTAAAGAAGCCTAGCGCACGTAATGAGTGCAGTTCCAAGCCCAGGCTTGGATTGCGAGGTGTATTCGATCGCTTCGTGTCATGTGTAATCGGTTTTTGATTTTTATGTCAAACGTATTTTAGAAAAATGCCAATCATTTCTGACGGCCTGCTGGTGTAACATATGAACAATCGTCCCCCGCATATCCTTTTCCAATTAATCTTACTCCAAACGATATGTCTTCCCTTTAATCAATCCTAACTTTTATTGACTGCAAATCAAATAAACTAATTTATCTGTTTCGCGATAGAATATTTATTTGTATTGTTTATAGAATAAATCCAGTAGCCTAGACTTTTAAGTTTGCCTACCTACTTCAGATACTAATTTGAAAAGTTGGGGAAATGAAGTTAGTAATATGTTAGTTGAATCTGAGTCATAATGGAACCTGATGTTTTTCAGATCTTCAATCATAACTATTATTTTTATATTTAAATGCTTACCCACGTGGTTACGTCATAAACTTTGAAAGTTTGAAATAATTGTTATTAGGTTTGACAGTAGAATGACCATTTTGTATGGGATTGGCCGTCCTGTATGTAGCGCTATTGCAGTGGCGGCGCTACGGGGGGAGGGGGCACACGGGCCCCCCCCTAAATAATTTTCTTTTGCCCTAGATAGTTATCTTTTCCCCAAGTTTCCCCCCAAAAAAGAAGAAGGACCACAACTCGTCTGGTAAAAAAAAGAAATGATATGTATTTTAAACATATTCGTAGACTATTTATCTATAAAATCGATTAAATAAGCCTCTGAAACACCTAAAATGTCATTTCTTCAGGAGGTTCACCTCCTGGACCACCTTCGAGTCATTTTGAGCGACGCCCGACCACGCCTACCTCGGATCACCCCAGCATATTGCCCCCCCCCCCCCCTTAAATTTTACATTGCC